CCCCCCCCCAAAAAAAAAAAAGCGCTCTTGCGACGGATCAAAGGATTACGGCGCAAAGACGCCGCTGATGGAGTTGCGACACGAAGCTTTCATGCCAAGAGCCCAGGGTTCTTAAGCTTTCTAGGATGCGGTATCCAGCCCGAGCATCTGCCCAGAACTGATGGTGTAAGCACGAGGCGGGACTTCCGGGGCCTCTTTCGCTACCCCGGTGGCGCCAGCTCCGTGACATGCTTCTCGGTATCTCCGATTCTGCTGTTGCTTTCGATGAGGTCAAAGTTTTGTGGTAAGTCACACACCACTCATTCGTTCACAGCCTCGAAGCAACGCTGAGGGAACAAGCGCCCGCCGCCTCCGGTTCGGCGCATTGCGGTGCGCAGGGGCAGGGATAGCTCAGGTTGACACAGAGAACCTGTGTAACGGCTCGGTTCGTACGTAACGTAAAGAGACGATGCGCACAAGAAGTCACACCTTGCGCTCTCAGCAGCTGCGACTGTGGCCTGCGAATGGAGGAGCCGGAGCCAGAACGTCCAGAGTGTGGCCTGCATGCTTGCGTGTAGACGAGCCATGAAGCACCTTTGGGCCTCCACTATGTCTGGGTTTAGTGCCGATGCCACAGGGGTTACAGGATCTTGGCACCGGCTGCCATATACCAAGGCCATGTCATGACAAAGTAGCACGCGCACAACGAAGCCATGTTTCTGCCACACTGTTTCGACTAAGCTGCTCTGCTATGCTCTGCGTCGCCGTCACCAATTCCAGAGCCATTTCTGAATCGATGACCCATATTCCCGACCTTGACCATGGCCACGATGCTGAGGGTACTGATTGTTTTCGTCGCCATCGTAGTCATGGTCGTCATCATCATCATCATCATCACCATCGTCATCATCATCATCATCATCACCATCAGCATCGCCATCATCAACAACAAGATCATCATCATGATGATCGTGTTCGCCGTGATGGTGGCGTTGCATGGGCCGAGTGCATATCTCTCGAAACGTGCCAGGCAGCTGACCATCCTTTAAAGCTCAGAGATTTAGGGGAACAGTAGGTCTCGATGATCGTTTTTCGGTCTCACATCTTGCAGCTGGGGCCGTGGTTCTGGCCGAGAAACAGAACAAAGATCTGCCAGAGAGCGGTAAAGGCACACTGTAGGAGCTCCAGCTCCTGGTGTCGTGTTGCGGCCGAGCACCACAATGACTCTGCTATACGATGGCGCCACCTGCCTTTTGGTTTCGATGGGCCGTCTCAGCTGCATGCTTGTAGCAGTTGTCGTGTCGTCGTCCTTGAAGGGCACAGTGCAACAGAGAAGCAATCCTATGCTAGAGATCGCTCCCAAAGCTTGTTGCAGCGATGAAACGAATCCGACCGCGAGACCTAGTAAAAAACTTGCCGTCGTAGTCTGTGTAGGAGAAAAATCCCTGACGAGTTGAGCAGCTGAGACCAGGAAGCACAGGAAACTGCAGGTGCAGCCGGCCATTCGCCGCAGGATTTCGGGCCGACGGTGGTGCATTCGCCCAGCCCGTAAGGTCATAGCTGTCATGATTTGCAAAGAAGTCCCCCCCACAACTGCCCCTGATCGACCAAGAAGCCTCGAAACCGGAGTTTGCCTAGCCAGGCGATGTTTTAAGCCAACATGACATGAGGATGCTCCACTGCCATACCTGCGAAGTGCAAACTGGGAGCCCTAAACCCCAACCCATGCCAGCTGCATCGCGTGTACAGGCCTGGGAGCGGTGGTCAGTGTTCGAGGCTTCAGATACTGGGTTCCAGGAGGGCCTTTGTCGACAGTGACGATGGCCAAATCAGGAGTGATTGGTCTCCAGTTGCCGCAAGATCGGCTTGACGGATAAAGCCTTGTGAGGCATGCTCGAATTTGATTATCCTCCTCCTGACTCCATCATCTAAACGCATCCTTGCATCCCCTTGCAACACTCGCCCAACTTCCCACGCACTTTTCGGACTCGCCACACGCCCCGGACCCCGGATTCGCAGCTTGAGAAACCCAATCGGGCCGCAAGTCCCATCACGAGAGCATCCTTGTCCACAGATACTGCAAGAGCCGTGGAGGAAGGCTAGGCAGCAACAGGATGGTTTGCTCTAGGATGTCAGCATGTGAAATGCGTATACCACGCCACTTCACGAATGCAGGAATGGATGCAGATGACGCCGCCGCAGAAGTTTCACCGGGTGCGACGTTTGGACCGCCTGGTGACGAGCAGCTTGACGAAATCAGGCCTTCCACCGAGTAGAGACGGTTGTGGTGATGATAAGAACCAGACCGCTTCAAGACTGTGCCCTGAGAGCGCTGGATCTTGCAAACAGCTACCCTGGCTCTTTCCTGACACTTCCTACCCCTTCCCCACGACCAACAACCCGTGAACAACCCGACGACAGGCTTGAGCTGTCAACACTTGGACAGGCGAAAGATGAATCAGAGTGGCCTTGCAATCCTACTCGCCGACTCGCCGAGGTACGAAATTGGGAAACAGCTGGGCAATGGAGCCGCTTCCCGGGTGTTTGCATGCAGGCGGTCAGGGCGGCCCATAGGTTCGTGCCCTTTCAGCAGGAGCAGTCCGTCTGAACTTCCAGGCGCCTCAACACCAACGAGCAGCTGGCCGTGAAAGCCGTCGACTTGCGACGCTTATGTGACTCGGGCTGGTTGCGTTTGGGTGCGCTTGGCCTACTTTGGTCTCAGGGCCAAGTTCAAGGAGCCCAGTGCCGCCCTGAGGCCTGCTCGGCGACCTCCAGGACCAGATGACCCGCTTAGACAGCGAAGTCGGAATCCTCCACGAGCTCAGACATGCGACTCGGTGGCTGGTGCAACCAGAGACTTGAGAATCAGCAGTCAGCTGAAGTCAGAAAGAGGGAGAGTGCTGTCAGAGTCCGTTTGGAGAAATCCAAACCCCAGGCCAATCGCGCCACGACCCTAAGACCAAAGTGGCACTCTGCTACTTCTGAGGAGAGAATCGTGAATCTTCAGGGATTCCACAAGTGCCTTGGCCGTAGTGTCCTACTTGTGACGTTTCACTTCCGGTCTCCGCAATGTAGGTTGGTGAGAACGCACATGACCACACCCATGCATTGCCTCAGCCTTTGCTGTGTCACGGAGCCTTCAGGTGCAACGAAGGCTAGCGCAGACTTGCAAGTTCGTTCATGCTATGTTGCTCTTGGGCCTGTCCGTGAGACCTCGCAAGGACGGACAACTGGTATTTCCTCGTGATGGAGTTAGTTGGCGGAGGAGGGCCATCTTCTGCCGTACATATGGCAGTTTCATGTCCAGTTTCAGGTGCTTGCAACCACGCTTTGCGCACTCACAGCCGGCCGCAGTCGGCTTCCATGCGTCTGACGGAATCCCTGGGTCAGAAGCGTTTCTGACACGACAGAGACGTGCAGGAGAGCTCTTTGACCTCATTGTCCGCAACAAGTCGCTCAATGAGGAGGAAGCGAGCTCCAAGGCTGCAGTTCTGCAGCTCACGCAGGTCGGGCCAGGATGGGCTAGATGCAGGCTTTCCGAATCCAGTAATGCTCAGTAATGTAAGCTCTCTGTCTGAATCTCTGTCTCTTTCTTCTGCTTTTCCTCGCGACGTCCGCCAAGGACACATCTTTCTCCAGCTCCTGGAGGGCGTTGGCTACATGCACGCGCGAGGCCGGGCGCCGTCTCCTTGCAAAAATTGTGTCAAAATCTGCCTGATGTGAGGCGTGCTCCACCGGGACCTGAAGCCCGAGAACATCCTCGTGGCGGGCTCCAGGCGGCGCATGAGCCGTAAGAGGCCATAACAGGCTTCAAGCAGAGCGAGTGCAATGTGCCTCGAGGCCGGCCGACGCGCCCGCTTCGGGGCAGCTTTACGACGTGAAGATCGCTGACTTTGGGCTTTCCAAGGCCGTAGTCTCACAGTCTCACTCTTCAGCTAATGTCTGGTGTCAAGGCTTCAGGAAGTGTGTCGCTACCCTGCAAGCCGAATGTATCGCGATGACATAAGGAAGTGTCGCAGACACACAGTCAGGGTTCACGAGATCACGCACAATTCGGACTCACCGGGCGGTCGTTCGGACTCTGGTTAATACGCTTTACTGCATAAGCAGATAGTTCAAATGCTCCAGCGGTCTTCTGTGTACAGGGGGCGGATTGTGATACTTCGAGAGCTTCGAACAATAATATAAGACTCCACCGTTTTCACACTGGAGGCCATCGGAGGCGGCGCCTCTCTAGCGAGGACGCGTGTGGGAACGCCTCAATACTGGGCCCCAGAGGCGCGCCCTGCCGAAGGGTTGCGAACAGTGCTTTGCTCTACACATCGCAGGGCTTTCCCAGCGGTCCGGAGGGCTGAGTCCCTCGCAAGACCCGGTTTGCAAGGGAATCCCCAGCGTCGACTCTTACCAAAAAAGAAGACCCAACTAGCTGAAGACCCGGCCGACTACGACCACATCCGGGCCCCTGCTTGGTATCTCAGAGCCTTCTGTCCCTGCTAATATGCTGCTATTGCTTCAGGGTTTCCATGACAGCGCAGTCAGTTCAGAGACTGCCCTGCCTCGAAGGTCCTGGACGTGCAGAAACGGGGCGGTGACTCGTCCTTGGTTGTGATACCTTCGGAACGCCATCTTCAAAGGTGGCACCCATCAACTTCCTAAACCTGTCTCGCTGAAGGACCGCTTTCCTTGCTTTCCGTGCCGAGGCTCCTACGACCAAGCGGCCGATTTTTGGGGTTTGGGCGCGGTCCTCTTTGTCGCCCGGCAGCCAGAGAGGAGAGCGAGGCCTTCGGGGACCCCGAGAGCCGAAGGCTCTCTTAGAGTCTTAGACCCCTGGGGAGAGCTTCTGCGCAGCAGTGATGACTCATTGATGACAGCGCCTGATGCTTCATGTTGCCATGTGTCCACTTTTCATGTTGATTTGTAAATAGGGAACCACAAAGGGCCGGGCATGGGATGATGTCTCCAGACCTCCTGGGAAGCACGTCGACCTTCAAGCAGCCAAGCCTGAACCGAGGTGATGCTTTGTGGCAGGTATCCTTTTGACGGCCAAAAGCAAGCTCTGGATGACCAAATCCGCACGGCCTCCTACAGCATGACAGGCCACGCGCACACAGGGGTCTTAGCGTCAAGAGCTGAGACCGTCGCATTCAGATTCTACGTGGTACAGATACTCGTTGCCACTCCGTGCTTTCGGGACGGGCTGCCCAAAGTCCAGATGCCACCAATGCCACCTCGCTTCGGAGCTGCACTGAGTGCTAGAGGTTCTTTTGCATTTGCTTGGCGAGGCTCACGATGGCGGAACATCTCCGAAGCTGCGAAGAGCCTCGTGCGTGGGCTACTGCGGGTCAACCCGGTGGACAGGCAGCTCGGTAGCCGGGAACCTGTTTCACCTGCGTTTGTTCGAACTTTTGGATTTACTTGTCTGTTCTTTGGTTGGAAGATTGCGAGCTCGAGAGCAATTTGGCAGGCTCTCCTTGGATGACTGCCTGAGCCATCCGTGGGTCACTGGGGCGCCCATGCCGCTACCGCGGCGGCTGCCTCTCACACCTGCAGCCCCTGGGCTCTTCTGGTGGTGTGTAAGACTCGAGCCATGTATACGGGAGAGGCAGAGCACCACAGCAGATAACGAGGCAATAACGACAGATAAATCATCAGGAACAGGAAGAAGAGAGCTCCAAGGTGCCCGCCTCCGGCAAGAAGTGCCTGGTCGCTCGGAGAATCGAAAGTAGCTGGCCTGGAGCCGCCCGGGTATCAGCAGAGTGCCCAAAAAGCGGGCACGGACCAAGCCTCCATAGTCCACTCTCGTTTGCCCTGCCCTGCCACCGTTCTCCTGATGTGAAGAGTGAAGAGTGCGGGGATGCTTTCTGCGACCCTGGCAAGGAACTGGCGCAGCAAGCGGACCTGGCACAGAAGACTCTTCGAAGGGTTCATGCTTCTTGTGCGTCTGTCGGTTTCGCTTGAGGCTTCGTGTCATGACCAGAGGAACGTTCCCTGCATCTCAAGAGTGTGCTGAGAAGCGGAGCTCCCGAGGATGGCCGTCATCGCCGAGTCACCTTCAGGGGAAGGTGAGGTCAGGAACTCCGAGGAGCTGCCATTTTCTCTGTGCTTTCGCGCTGCTGAAGTGCGCCTTCTCACATCAAAGACGGGCAGAGTTCCAAAGCCTAACCCTGTCGTACAGCAGCGTGTCCCCTACTACTCCAAGACCATCGGAAGGAGCACCGCCGGACAGTCCCAGACTCTGAACCCTCCCTCCTAGATGGTTGCTCCCTTCCACTCCCACAGACGCTTGAACGTCATGAACAGGACTTCCGGAATCTTGCAAACCTGGACTCCGAGCGCCTGGCGGAGTGGCTTGTCCCTGTTAGTTGAGAGAACACAATACAAGATTTCAGGTTCGTCCTTGCCCCAGGCGTGCCCCGTCCACCAGCTGCTGCAGTGCTTCAGACTCTGACTCTTGGCAGCAGCCCTCGTAACCAGTATGCGAGGTCGTTGTCGTGCCTTGCTGGGGTTGGCCCAGTCAGGGCTTCCCGGTTTCTTGAATTTGCTTGAGGCTGCTGCACAGTTCACACGCAGGGTCACTGGCGGGATAGCTTTAGCTACTCCATTACCAAGGACCTGGGCAAGAGCTGCAGCCGCGTCGCACCTGGGTCGCAGGTTCAGTCCTGCAGCCCCAGGTTTCGGCCTTTTGCTGGAGCTTTGCTGTACGTCAGACTTTTCAATGCGCTGTGGCTGTGGCTCTAGCTGTAACACTGCGGCGAGACGTCGCTACATCACCGGATCTTGGGCCTCCAAAGCTGAGGCAAGCACCTTCAGCAGCCCAGATGAGGAGGCGCAAAGTTCGCAGGCCTGGAAGAGAGCCGCAGAGTTTAACCGGGTCCTGGGTTTTTTTCGCCGACCTTCAGTGTGATTGTCTGTAGGGGTTTGGGTGTTCCCGCTCAGTTCATCCTGTTCAGGCAGAGGGACTTGGTGCAGAGGGCAGCTGCCTTCCGCAGAGTCTGCACATTGACAGTTTGAAGCTGTTTCGCCTCTCCCTGCAGGTCGTCTCCTTCCTCACAGGCAGGGTGCTATAGTTTCAAAGTGTTGGAGGGCTCAACAGGCGCTGGAAGGAAAGGTGGTCAATAGCATGACGGAGTCCGGTCATGTTTTACATCAAGCATCCACTCTATCAGCAATGCAAAGCACTGGCCGAGACAAACTCAATCAAGCTGCCTTCTGGTTGCTGCAACCTTGGCCTAGGCACATCGTAGCACATCTTTTACGAAACATGGGGCAACTGTTGGAGAGAGCGAGCACGGAACAGCCGAGTGTACGGCAGGCAAGAGCCTTCGCTTCGGCCGCTGGTACTGGCTGCTGATCCTGTGCCCCGGTAGCCAGGAAGCTCAAGAAGTGCTTCTGCAGTCCCTACACCGGGAATTGCTTCCGGTGTGTAATAAGCGGAAAAGAAAGACCGGCCCAAGTCCCTAGCACCAAGACCCAGAGTTCAGACCGAAAGGCCTGGAACTTCGAAGACTCACCAACCCGCCCGCCCCCTCGGCCCCACCCCGAAAGACCAGAAATGCCCTGGAGCCCAGTTGAACCCCGAGTCCCTTGTAGCTCCAAAGCTGGGGGAGCACACAATGCAACAGAGCCCCAAAGTCAAAGTTCTCTCACCACACGGTCTAATCCCAAGCAGTTCGAAGAAACACGACCTGCTTGACAAAATGTCGCAAGCAGGACCCCAAGAAAACTAGAACTGCTTCTTGTACCGGTCGTCTCCTTTGTGGTGAACTGAGGGTTACATATCCTCTCTTGTGGCCTTTGGGAGAAGATTATATTATTGCTGTTAATATTATTATTCTTATTTTTATATTAAATTGTATTAAGATTATATTATATTATATTATAGTACTTTATAGGGCAGCCCTGCGTCGCGAAGACACAGCCGAGGCTCCTTGGCCTCGCTCTCTGGCGCTGCCGCGCGCGACGCGAGCTGATTCCCGGCGAGGCCCGGTGGTTCAGGGGTTCGGGATTTAGGGCTTTTTAGGGGTTTTACGGGTTTAGGGTGGCTTGGAAGACTATGTCATCTGAAGTTCTCAGTGCTTTGTCGGGACTTTCACATGGTTTCCGCGTGCAGAGGCATCCAGCACATGCACGCTCCATGCAGACACACATCTGGCAACCGTGCACCTTGCAGAGTGCGTCTTCAAGTGGAATGTTTACATTTTACACTTCGAAAACAGACATGGTCTTAACTTCCCAGCCAAAGGGTTGTGACCCCCTTCATTGCCTTTTGATGCTTGCTCTGGCGACCACAATGCTGGGCACATGCACGGCTGTGGCTTCCAGGCTGCAACGTGTTAGTTAGCCAACCGACGACAGGAACAGATGATGGGTTACGTCCAATTTGCTCGCCTTTACATCATGTGCTCAGTTGCCCACGATGAGCTTGGACAAGCAGCCCGCCAGCTACAACACGCAGCTCTGTTGCAACAGTAGAGGTCTTCTGCTAGCCGGCGATGCAAGCCTTGTCGCTGCAGGGAGGGCAAGTGAAGTTGTCATCGTGAGCCGCTCGTCGTTCCCAAGTGCTCCCACCCTGCTCTCAGCAGAATCAGGAATCTCAGCGGTGACGGTGACGAGAAGAGCATGCTCGCGGCGCTCGACATGCAGACGCCCCTGCACCCTGGCTGTCATCAAGCCTGGCTTGCCATGATGACCTCAGGGGCGGACGAGGCTCATGGGAACCGCGACCTGAACCCCCGACCCGAGATGCCGCGTCTTAGGTACTATCTGGGTGGTGCGCATCGAGGAGCTGCAGACTCCTGGCTTTCAGGCCCAAGGCTTTGAAGAAGGGCGTGTATTTCCAAGGGCCCGTGGTTGCAACGAAGCCAGAAAGCATGGACTCTATCCACTGCAGGCGTAGGGCGTAAAAAGGGTTGTAGGGTAGTTTTCTGAAAGGTTGCACCCCCCTCCCTGCTGATCCTTGCCGAGGAAGCGCTGCTCCTGGAAGCACCGGCAGAGGGGCACAAAAAGACCCCCGGCCGCGATGCATTCGAGCTTGCCTTGACAGGTTCAGTTTCGTCCAGGAGCACTTCATGCCGTGCTCAGTGCTGGGTAGGTCGACAACCTGCTTCCATCCTGATGCTTCGAGGAACAGCATCTTCCAACTCATAGAGATGCTGAAGAGCCAGGTGGCCATTGCAGGCGCAATCCGCCGCCGCAAAGAGGAGTCTCATATGCTCAGGAGTCGCTTCAGTTTTGCTGATCTTCGGACGGAGGCTCCCTGCAGATGGCGAACATCGCCGTGCGCCATGTGGACCGAGAGCTTGCGGAGGCAACGAGCAGCGCCTACGAGCAGGCGGAAAGGGCCGAAAAGGCTCTGTCCTTTTTTCGAGAGAGAGCTCCCCAGAAAGCCGGAAGTTCATCATGTCAGCGAAGATTTACCCCATTCGTGTCTCGATCATGAACCTTGCATATTGTTGATGTTCTGTGTTTGGCATGCACTGCTGCCAATCAGTGATCAGCTGCATGGCGCGTCAGACTCTTTTGTCCTGCACCGAAAGATCCGGACGCAGAGCCATCTGCAGCAACGGTTTTTTCTATCTATCTCTGAGAGCATTGATGTTGTTGGCATGTGGCAAAGGCGCGCGACCTGTTCAAGAAAGCCGCAGACGTGGTCTCACGCTATGCGGACGTCGCAAAACAGGCCGGACTGGATGGATTCCGCTCATCCCCAACCGAAGTCCATACTGGCCATCGTTTCGACTTTGCTTGCATCCGCTGCTCCACTCCCCATGCACTATGCTACGACAATTGTGCATGAACAGCTGAAGCACACCTGTAAGCCACATGGAACATGTATATTATAGCTATTGTCGTACTATATATGTATATTACACGGAGGTGAGTGAGCACGTTCTGCCCGACCTCCAACTGGCCGTCGAAGAGCAGGTTCGGCTGGAGTGACCGGTTTGAAGCCTAAGAATCATGAGTGCTGGACTTTTCTGCCACTTCTCCTTAGACCGTGCAAGACCTTGCAACCACAGCCTGCATCTTCCCGTCTCTAAAGGAGCCTGCAATGGCGGCAGACATGCTTGAGATGGTCAAGGAGTGGGTGGCTGCCACTTGACCGAAGCGTCGAGAGCTGCATGTTCACAAGAAGGCCCAGTCGAGGTGTCTCAAGGAATGCATGGGCTCGCTCTATTTGGAACCATCATTCCGCTTCTTGCAGCTCCAAGGCCATGAAGAAGGACAGCGACCTCATTCGAAGCAACTACGGCGAGCTTCAGTCGGCCGTTCTGACGCTGCACGGCGAAGTCAGATTTTTCTTGCGAGGCCTTGAGGTTTTCAGGCTTGTAGCTGTCTGAGGGCCCATGCCTCTCGGCTGCGCTCCGAGCGAGTGTTGGGGTGTGTATCGCCCGTATGTATATTGTGTCTTTCGTTCTTTTCCTCTGAGCGATGAGGTTCCAGGCCTGCTGTTGCAAGGCCTTCCACGATCCCTATGTGAAGTTCTCTAAAAAAATTGATAAAATTCTGAAACCCTGCTGAGACAAACCCTTGGAGACCCGGGCCCACATCACGCGCATGTGGAGACGAGATGCCATGCAGAAGCCATTCAATGAAGTGGTCACAAGCTCGGAGCACGCCACTTATTCGAGTCTTCCGGAGAAGGAGCAGGAACTCCGACATTTCAGCTGCACACCTCCGCTTCCCACCGTGAGTGTCCACACCACCCTGTGAGATCAGTGAGATGCAGATGGCGGTATGAGTTCAGGCAGCCGAAGATTGCCGAAGATCCAGGAGATACCCGATCTAAGCGGAGCCGTGAAAAAGAAGCTCGAAGACCAAGACCCTAAACTCCCAAGTCCTAAACCCTCTTACAGCACATCGAAGCATTGAGCCGAGGTTGGTGGATCGAACCTCCCGCAGCAAGCAGGCAGCAGACGACAAGCTCGCCGCTGCCGTGGCCACGGCCAAGGAGCTGCTGTAGCCGACGGGTTTTCTAGGGTTGAGTGCGCTGTAGAGTTCTGAAGAGTTTGGGGTTCAGGAGTTTGCAGGAGTTTGGGGTTCAGGAGTTCTTCCGCATCTTCAGGGTGCTTTCACCGCGCAACCTGTCAGGAGGCCCAGATTGCCAAGGCCACGCAGAACCAAACACACGGCTCAGGCGTGGCCGGTGTACCGAGAAGGTTGAGTGCCCTTTTGGGGAGCGGAATGTGTTTCTACACTAAACATAGCCACGTTCGCAGGCGATCCGAGCAGTGCCAGCTGCGGCTTTCCGGATGAGCAGATCGAGAAGCCCTACCAGGCTTTTGTTGCAGAAGTCTTCAAGTTTGCGTCGCAAGATGGCCTTGTGGGTACTGTCATCTTGGCATTAAGAGGACTGCGTTCGCTTGTGCCGTGATTTAAGATTCTATCTTGAGGTATTTCGGGCTTGTGACTGGCATTTCGTGGTGCATTGCAAGTGCGACTGCTTCCTTCACTGCGCATCCTGATGTTGCTGCAACGTGCTTTCTACAGCCAGAGCAGGAACCGGAAGTGCAGCCACGCCAGCCCTGCAGGGCCCAAACCTCCTTCCCATCTACCATCGTCCACCATCCTCTCTCTCGACACGCGCAGGTGGCCACGCGCACCAGTCCAGACGTGTCCCCTCAGGTGAAGACGCATGTCGCAGCCGAGGCTGCTTGCACTGTGTGGTATGATTTGGATAAGGCAAAGCTTGTGGCTTACAGTGCCGGCCGTGAGGTACACTTCGGGGCTTCCTCCAGCATGTGGGGCTGTTAAGTTTCCAGGAAGTCCCGAAGTCGAGGTGAAGGGTGGTCCTTCGACACTCGGGATTGGAAGATCGGCGGTGCAGGTGGACTCGCTCATTGAGGTCACAGATGAGTCCATCCAGTTGCAGTCCAGCGAGCCTTGGCGATCCAGTCTGGGTTTAGGACTTGGGACGTGGGATTCGTCTGGGCTGAAGTCCGCTTCGGAAAACCCGGGCCGGAGCACTTCTGTCCACTGCAGGTGACCACCACTCCGCAGTTGACCAGCAGCGAGTACATGGCATTGGTGCTTTGGTTGCATTGGCTCAACTGCATAGCTTCTTGTACAGCGGCCGTGCTTAGCCAAGGCCAAGTTCACAGTTACATGTCCTTGAAAAATCAGCTGTTTGCACGACACACTCTCTCTTTCTCCCTCTCTCATGTTGTGCCCGTCCCTCCTAACGGCTCTTACTCAAAGTCCCCAGCCCCCAGCGCACCGGATCATCCCCTGTGGACTAAGGTGCCCTACAAAGACAGCCTCTTCCCCGAGGCCGAGGCTCGTCGGCTCTCGGAAGGGAGCCGAGACCGGGCAGGGCGCAGCCCTGCGCCTGTCGGCCTCTTTGTGTCGTCTAAGAGCAGGAAGAGAGAGCGAGTGTCCGACTGTGCCCGACAGAGACCTCAGGGCGCAGCCGGACACGCCGCCGACTCCTCCAAGAGCTTGCTTAAGGCGGGGGGCCAGTCTTCGTCAGTGCCTTCCACGGGCCCAGAATAAGATTCGATGCGTGCAGAGTGCCGACCCGTGGAAGCACTGTCGGCCACTCAATTCCCGCCGAAGGCCTTGCACGAACTCCGGCGGGTGGACTCTATTTTGGAGGGTTGCTGCTCGGCTGGAGAAGCAGGAAGTGGAAGAACTGCAGGCCTCGGGGCCTGGTGAGACAGCAGACAGCATTTCAGGTTCTGCTTGGGCCTCGTGAGTGAAAGGCTCTGGGAAAGGAAAGCCTTTGTTCTCACCTGCGCCAGCCGTGCTCTGAATCAGCGCTGAGGCTCCGTGTTTTGGGCCGGCATGGATCGTGCTGCCGGAAGCTTACAGGAAATCGGAGCATCTCTTGAGCCAGAGGGCACCTGGATCTGAGCCTCAGAAGGACTCAAGGAAGGTCAAAGGCCCAGCAGCCCAGCAATCACCTCGGCGCACGGCCCCGACCCGACGCATTCAGGTCCATCAGCTGGGACAGATGAAGCAGCATGCGGAGCGTCTTGTGCAGCTCTGCAAGCAATGCGTCACCACCTCCTTCACGTAGATCAGACAGCGAGAGGGCAAGCTCTCTCTTTTGCTTTTCTGCGGGCGTCGTCTGTGGCTGAGGAACTTCGCCACGAGCACTCCGAAGCTCAGGGAGCGCTTCGACCAGCGGATGTTGGAGACCCTTGGACTCGGCAAATGCGCTGCCCAGAGTCACTCCATTTTCGGTGCTATTCGACAAGAGTTTATCTAAGCGTGGGATGTGCGTGCATGCAAAGTCCGCTTCGCGTCCACTAAGGTACGGCAAGAATTGGTCTGACCTCGAAAAGCTTTGCCGGGAGTACAACTCGAAGCATCACGACTCTGGGCTGCACACGAATCGATGTCACTTACACCTGGCTTCAAGATCAGACTTCAGCAACGGTTTCCCGAGGGCATTTTCCTGTAGCGATGTAGCGAGCCATGTCCAGCGAGAATCCATTGTCGCTCGACATCTCGACATAATGACTCAGGCAAAGCCTTCGATGACACGGGCGAAGCCGGGGATTGCAGCCACGAATCCAGCCATCGCCCAGGGCGTCACAGGCTACCACAGTTCCAGCCTCGCTTGCAGCGTACTGCCGCATGCGCCCAGGCAAGTTGGGGTTTCGGCATGTACAGGGTTCTGCTCAGTATGCTCCGCCCATTTTTGACATACTTGTCGAAGTGCAGCAGTTGGACGAAGGACATCTGGGTCCAGGGCCGACGACAACACCCAGATGTCCCTCTCCACTTGCTGCACGTCGACAAGTATGTCAAAGTGGGGCGGAGCATGCTGAGCAGAACCCTGTACGTGCCGAAACCCTAACTTGCCTGGGCGCTTGCGGCAGTACGCTGCACGCGCCCGTGATCTGGGCTTGCAGCAGCCCCGCCAAGGGGGCCCTCTTGGAAGCCTTCTGCCAGCAACACCTGCGGTGCTATTTCACGGAAACACTCTTGAACCTCGGCAGTGACGTCAACAGGCAGGAAGGCCATGAAATTGGAAGCACTCCTGGAGCTGTTGAAGACTCTGAGAAGGGCGCTGGCATGACGGTGGGCCAGATCACCTCTGGAAAGAGCACTCTGGCTCGAGAGCTTGCCAAGAAGCAAAGCGGAGGCTCACAGACGCTGCTCAAGCAGGAACGGAACAGCTCCTTGAGCCTGTAAAGTGGCTCCCTGTTGTTTGTCTTGTTTCTGTCTGCCTCTTCAAATAAGCACAGACCGGCGACAAGCTCAAGCTGCACGGACGGTGCTGACTAAGAGCTTTTGTACAGGAAGAGACGCATCGCACTGGCCCTTCGCTCTGCTGCATCGCTCGACTCCATCGCTCAACTCCTTCTCTCTCCCCACGAACATCGAAGGCTCTAGCTCAAGAGGGCGATTGAAAGAAGTCCTTGCAATTTTGGCCGGAGCTTCAGGGCTGCTATGTTGAAGATGCCCGCCTTTGCCCGGCAGCTCTGGTTCCTGACTGGCCGGCACACAAAAGCCGTCGCGCCGAAGGCCTTAAGACCTAGAGACACATTACAGGCATCTGCATCACAGAGCGTAGGTCCTAGGTAGCAGATTCTTCAGTGCGCTAATCAAAACAGCGTGGAGGAAGAACCATCAGTGAACCCAGCTACTGCTTTCCCGACGGCTCATGCCATCTAACTTGTTTGCCTCGACAGTTTAGCTTTGAGTGGCGAGCCTGTCACGCATGAACCGGCTGCTGCCACGAAGAGAGGGCACATCGCTCCGCCGTAATGGATACTGGCTTGACAAAACCTAGACCAGACAGCAATCCTAGGTTCTCAAGATCAACCGGAGCACCGGACGACGACTGCAAAAAGCAAACCTACTCTATGTCACCGCGAGCAACGGGCTTGCACACACATTTTTTTTGCATGTATGTATGTATGTATGTATGTATGTATGTATGTACGTATGCATGCATTTATGTAGGCATAAGCATGTTGTGGAAGGCAGTGCAGGGCTTGTGCCCGCTGCTCGTCATTTTGCCCAGGGTCCCTCTTAAATCAGTGAAACACCGACAAATCCCGGATGCAAGCCTTCAATCCTCAAGTCCAGTTAGCCCGCTGACGCCTGTGACCATGCAAGGAGGAGAATGCAAAGATGCGCGATGCCGTTCGGGAGACTTGGCCGCGCACTGTCCATTCGAAAAAGCTTCACATGCACGCAAGGTTTCAACCTCCCAGCGAGAAGACTGGCATGACTGCCAATTCTAAGTCGGAGTTTCCCATCTGTGTTCGGTATCTGTGACGCTGCACTGCCACGTCTTCACTAGGAAGCTCTCACGCGGATGCTTTTTCGTAGACACAAAGGGAGCATCAAGCTCAAGGCATTCCGGCCCTGACATGCTGGCAGGCATCAGAGGTTATGGCTGTGATTCTTGAGTGGCTGAGCCTTTGTGAGTTAGGACCTGTTTCTGAGGGCGGATCTCGAGGACTGAACTGGCGAAAGAGTACAGTGGAGTTCTTGCATGAAAGAGTTCTTTGCATACCACAACTAGGGGATTTGAGGAAGCAGATGTGGTACGAATGAAGGTTCTTCGACCTTGCAATTGTGCCTTTCAGAGAAGCCTCATAGGGTGCGTGGTGGTTTTCCTTAAACTCTGCAGCTTGTGAAGCCAAGGCCACGCACTTCCAGGGCCCAGTAGTCCGGCCAGTGTTTATGCGGAACCAGGAGGTGAGATCAAGATTCAGAGCTGACCACAAACAATATCCACTGTCCACAATCACAGCGAGATAGGGACCAGCTGGAAATGCATGCCATGCAAGCTCTGCAAGGCTCTGATTAGACCAGTTTGATTTTGGAAAATTTCAGCTTTTGCATCTGGTGAGAAACCTTACCTTCAAGCGACTCTTCAGCTAGGACATCGCGCGTGCGGCAGGCGGATCCCAGCGGTGAAGAGCTGTCTGTTAGTCTCGGGGCACAGGGCTTAGGTCATGAGCTGTCTTGGCCTTGAATGTTGCTGAACCATGGCGGACTTCGTTAAGCAAAGGATGGGCGGTCTGTTACGATGTGAAACCCCACATTGCTTGGCCTTTGCGACGAAAGCTTTCGGTCCCAGCCCGGCATACAACGGCAGCATTCCATCATGGACTCTTCCAAAACGTCTCTCCAAGACAATATACAGAGACGACTCGGAGCATCGAAGAGAAGGGGACTTTAGGGGTTTTGTTGTTTGCACCGCAGCTCGGGGAGGCGCTTTTGCTCCACAAGCAGATGACAGGTGACTTAGACTTCTGACTGGGTTTCAAGTTGGAGAGCCATCTTTGCCCGATTTGAGCGCTTATTTGGGCAAGCCTCCAAGTCTGATTTTCCAGCGAGAGGGGCGAGCCGCGGCGCCTTTGATCAGGCTGCGCATGAACTGAAATTCGGAATACCCAGCTTCTAGGTTCCACGAATCTTGTATTGCACTCATACTGCCTCCACCTTGCATCATACCCTGGCCGCTGCATGGTTTTCCTTCCAGGTCCTCTGTCGTCCACGGAATGGGCTAGCATCCTGAAGCCTGGCCTTGTGACTTTGGACGCTTCAGGTACCCGGTTCGCGTAGTGCAAGGCATGAAAGCTTCCACGGCTCTCGGGCTGGGACGACTTGCCCCTCGTCGCTCTCGCCACAGCAATCGTGCGGAAAAGTTCGGACTCTCCGAGCTTTTGCTTTCAATTCAGCTTCCAGCTTCAACCACCGAAGGGTTCAGCTTTCGGCACATTGTCGCCCCAAAGCAAAAAAGAGGCCCCCCCCCTTCCTGTGGACGAAGCTCTTGATCTGCGGGCCCCTAAGGGGCCAGGGACCGAGCAGTCTGGCAAAGCATAGGCTCCAAGACGGCAGCTCTCAGAGACTAAGCAGTGGGCAACTGTTTGGAGGGGATTCTCGCACTTCAGGTCTTCTTGCCGTTCTTAGGCTTGGCCAAGAGGGCTTAGGGCAAGGCTAGGATGGCAGGTCGAGAGGTGGTTGGTGGGCTTAGCTGGGAGGGTTAAGGGCAAAGCTAGGATGACAGCGTTCCATTGCAAGGGGCATGAGCCCCTCCGGTTTCACCCCAGAGGGTTGGCAGCCGAAGTGCGTTCGAAAGCGCCGAACAGACGAAACCAGACTGTGTCGGCACCTCTGGGGCCACCAGCTACACCAAGCTACAGCTGTGAGAGTGGTAAAAGCTGGCTTCGCCCCGACTTTGTCAAGAGGCGTTCGTAGATTTGTGCGACCATGCCACCGGCCCACAGTTTGACATGTTACATTCATAGCCAAGCCTTTAATGCAGGTCGGTGGTGTGGGCCTTGAGCATGGGGTGCAAGCCCAAGAGTGGGAGCTTTCCTTACGACTCCCGCCAATGCGCAGATGGTAGGAAATCCCTTGCCCGTTACACTGACCATGAAACTCCACTGTAGGGTTTGTCTGGAGGGGGACTGTTGGGGTACAGTCTGAGCGGCAAAGATGCCCAGGGCTGCTTTTTCTTGCATGCCCGACCTGCATGCGAGCACTGTGCAGCATTCTGCAAGCATGCTGAGAGATGACGATAAAAAATTGGCCTAGCATTAATTCCCCCCAATGCGCAGTTGACGCGGACCGCTTGCTTCGCCAGCAATAAGCCTGTGCAGTGGATGTTGCGCGGCCAGCAGCGCACCTGAACGCCGAGTTCAGCCTGATGCTGCTAGTCTTCTCTGAAGCTGGTCTGAGCCAGCGAAATTTGACAGACCCAGGACCGAGATGTCGCTTTCAAAGGAGCCTCGTATCCTAACTTTCCGGGGCGTACCAAAACGAGTCGGTTGCAATACATCTCGGCCAAATTTACTTCCAGACAAAGCGCTGCCAGGATTACTGGCAGCATGAGGGAAGCAAGGCCGTCATGTCCCGTCATGCTTGGCCAGCATCATCTGGCGATAATTTCTCAACATGCAATGTTATATGCTGCGAGACAGACCTGCGCTGGACATGAGCCACCTTGACTAGATCGATTGGCCCTTGGGAGCTCTTGGGCATGTGAATATCGCTTTTGGTGCAGTCGCAGGAGCCCAGTTGCAGGCAGCTAGAAGGCTCTCCTTCTCAAGTTGTGCGTCAGGAGTTTCTGCTGTTGGCAGATGGCAGATGTTGCTAGAAGAGCTCAGGCTGCATGTTGCTACATTTTGCTGCCAACGGTGCTCGAACGCTGCCCTTGGATGCATCTTGTAGTGTAGGCAAAACATCAAAAGCACGGAGGGCCAGCAGTTGTGAGTGGAGGGGCATTGACTTTCAGCCGCCGCATGCTTTTGCAGGGCTTGTGCACGTCCAGATCGTGCAGCTTTGACGTTAGCATTGCTTGTCACAAGTGTCTTGACCTCGGCTCAAACGACGATGCACGAGCTTCAACTCATCACGGAGAGTATATTGAGGCATACACGAGTGGAAGGATGGATCGTGTTAGAGAGCTTGAGACGTCTGAAAAAATGAATGGAGACCGTCCAGTCACAGCAACAGCGCTTGTTTGCGATCTGGAGTTGTCATACCTACCGCGCCTTCAGCATCAATTAGCCTCATGCCAGAGCTGTCCTCAGAGGAGGCGCGATGTCGCGGCTGAAAGCAGTTTTGAGCAGCATGGCAAAGCATCTGCAGAACCCTGGTTTTGCGGAATCTAAGAAGGCGGGTGAGCGGAGAGCAGGGAAGAGCCGGGCAGGAGGCGGCCTTGGCCAAGATCCAG